GACAGGTAGAAGAGAGAAATGTAGAAATAGACATATATTTTTTAAAAGATAAGGATTTGTAAAATTCTTAATGGACAGAGTTGATGTGTTTTTTATTGTAGAGGAGAAGCAGAAAATCTTGGATGTAGCTACTGTATGCCAGCTTTTGGATCTTGTCATGGGACCTCGATTCCGTCCTCAAGTCCAATTACTAATCAACTTTCTCAAGGTACCAATGAATAATAGGACAATATTTGAGTGATAATACTAGGATAATCTCATATCTAATCAATTTCATTTTTCATATTACTCCAAACCTAACTAACTTCCCTTGAATTAAATGCAAGACCCAAATAGAGTATAAAGGGCTCAATATGGATCACTGGACTAGCATCTTCCGTTTCTTCAACCAGGTACTCATACAACACTATAGATACCATAGACATATGTTCACCTCCGAACTTTCAAGATTATGTTTAATAAATCTGAAGCTTAAAAACATCCTATTAAATCTCTAAACTTCAAGACTTTTTATCTAATAGGGTTCCTATCGCATTCAATTTTCTTCTCTTTTCTTATAAAATTTATGGAGTATTAGACACAGTGAACTATAACATTCCAAATTTATATTTAATAGGACCACGAACTTAAAATTTTAAATATGAGAAGAATCTATGAGCCACAAAATTAAAAGTTCAGAGACTTATCATATACTTTTAAAACTTCATGAATTTATTAGACACAAAATTGAACGTTCATTGACTAATAACACCTTTTAAAGTTCAAAAATCTATTTGGTAAAAGTAGAAGAAGTTTATGTACTAAACTTATAATTTAGTCTTAATTTTATCACTAATAAAACAACAATTTTGTAATGAATGTAACAATAAATTTGAGAATTATTTTTTTCACATTCAATTGAAAGTTTTTTGTATATATCAAGAGTAAAATTGATAATTTTAAAAGTTCAAAGATCGATTTTGAGAAGAGTATAGAGCATATGATGTATTCAACTAAAATTTTAAAATACGATAAATTAAATATTATCTAAAAGATTAGGACCTATTTAGAGTTGAATTGCAATTTTATTATTTTACTATTATTTATTTTAACCGATTGCGTGTTGCCGGCGGCAGGTCAGTTTTCCGGATCTAGAGAACTACGATCCACACCAAGGTTGGCCGGCGATTCTTGATAACTTTGTTGAATGGCTCAAAGCAACGGGAGGATAGCAAAACCCCATCACCACGACGTCGTTTCACCGTCCTCTCCTCTCTCATTCATCATACATTACTGACTAAGTTAACCCAAATTTA